GGCTTTTTGTAGCGATTCAGAAAACCGGAAAAATCAGTTATGCGGAATAGCGATGATCCCGACCGTTCCGGATAATCGGTTCCCTACTGTATTAATTTTTGAGCTATTTAATGCATCGTTTATAAATATTTAAAATTTAAAAAGCAGAAAAAATATTCACATTTTCATATGCATTTCTTAAAAAAATTTAAATAACTAGTTTGTCAATATTTTATATTAAACAGCCTAGCTTAATTTTATGATTAATGAAGAACTATTAAAAGAACAAAATCAAACTTTTACACCACTAAATTAACAAATTGCACATTGAATTCTCAATTATAAATAGAATACTGATTTTTATAATCAAATGAAGTATTAATACTCAAACCAACTCTGAAATAATATGATATATAGATTTCTAAATTTTCCATAAAATTAATTAATAAATAAATGTTTTATTAAAAAGTAAATAAAAAATTTAAACATTCTCTGTTACTATATTAAATTTAATTTGTTCAAAATTTGAGTTATTTTTATAATATTTACTGTTAAATAATTGTAAGAGTCTTTTTTAATTTTTACCATTTTGTGCAGTTTTTTAAAATTTCTTTTACAGTTACTCTCATTGTTCTGGAAAAAATAGGTTTCACCTGAACAAAATGCCAATCTTGTTTCAAACATATATATTTCTGTCTATTTCTGCTTTTAAAAATTGCAGATTTATGTTTATTTAAAATAATACAGATTACCAAAAGCAATTAAATTCCAAAATTGTAATTCTCTTCGTTTTTTTTTTTTTTTTGCTTCTAATGCATGTCTCCATCTTGTTCTAGATCCTTTTACAGCATCTAGCATTTTTTTATTAATGTCTATGTTTTTTATTTTTTTATTCCATTTATAAATGAAACATAATCATACACACGCCTTTGTTAAATAATAGAGTCTTCATTGAGGTTTTCAACCAATAAGCTTTTATTGATTGAAAAACCCTCTTCGACTGAGACCATGAGAGAGTATAAGAACAATTTTTATAACCCCCCACAAATTTTCAAATTTTTTTTCTCCATGCAAATATTTTGAAAAAAAATTATCTAATCTCTGTTGTTGTGGATTAAACTCCAAGAAACTCTTTTGCTCTTCTTTTCTTTTGGCAGCATCACAAAACAGTAAAAATTCCTTTTTTCTGCTGTTGTTTCAGCTACCCAGTTATTAACATGGAGAATTTCCAGACATGTATCCATCCTTTGTTGAATGATCAATTCTGGAACTAAACTTGAAATGCCACGTGTCATACTATACAACAATGGACTTTTATAGGGTATTTTTTCGACAGTCGTCAAAAAAAATTTCGACATAACATTCATTGGATAAACAGGAGGAAAATTGCTAACAGGACAAGTTCTACCAGGGAAAGAGGAATGTTATTATGAGGAAATTACATATTTTGAATTACAGAAATTTTCCTTGAAACTTTATTTTTGCCTGTCAGTCTTTGAATGAACTATAGTTTTTTTTTATTTTCCTAACTTTATGAATATGTAAGAAAAATCCTGACTTTTTCCTGACTTTATGATTTATAAGAAAAATTCTGACTTTTTAGCTTAATTTTAGAATATCCTGACTTTTGCAGGTTTTCCTGACCATGCAGGAACCCTGAACAAGCTATGTTTCAGAATGATCCTCTTTATTGTTTATTATGTTTTAATTTAGACATTTCAAGTATCACTTTAACAAGCTATACACAAAAACATCAAGAATAAATTTTGCTTTGCTTGACTGTAAATAATTTTTGCTCATTCCTCATTTAGGTCACTTGATTTGAGCACATGCTGTTTAACAGAAGTAACACTTTGCAGCTATACATAATGGTGTTTTTGCTGGTTTTAAAGCAAACTTTGGTATATTTTGAAGAAAATTAGAGTTCTACTAAAACTGTTAATTTTGTTATTTATGTTTATGTATTATGTTCCACCAAGAACACCTGTTAATCAATCACATAAAGTCTGTTAATGTTTATGCCACTTTACTTTCTCTGATGACATAATAAGAATCGATTAGGGTATCACACAATCTTGGTAAAATGTACAATGATAGTTTTATACCTGACCTAAATTTTGCCTATGTGAAATTATTTCTTTATAAGCCTTTTAAAATGTCTAATTTATCCTATTTTATTTGAATCTTTACATGAGTTGCATTTATTTTTTGAGTTTAGTTCAGCACTGATATGGTTCTATGTTTACAAGCATTTATTACACATATAAAATTTCAGCATTTTTTAGATATATATTTGATATTGTAAAATTATAGGCTGATATCCATATTTTAACAATTATTTCACCACAAAACAAATGTTAAATTACATAAATTAACTTTAAAACCCTAACAATAAACTACATAAATGATTTTTTTCTCAAGATTTCAAAAATAAACTATACTAAAAAGATGCAAACTATTTAGAAGCCCTGTGGCAGAATTTTTTTGAGCTATCTGCAACAAAACTCTCTAGCACTAATATCTTTCCACAAGATACTTTTAATAATAACAAAAATATATGTTACTAATTTGAAATACTAAAGTGTTGTTTATATAAAAAAAAAAATCTATATTTTTTTAATAATTTTTTTAAATTGAACATGTATTAATTTTTTATTCAAATACTATGGGTAATATTCTCTTATTTTGTGTCGGGGGATGCACAAACTATTTCCTGCTGTGTTGCAAATAATCATCACAATAAAAAAATAATTAAAAATCATGAAATCCGTAGTAGTAATTGTCGAAAAAAAGATCAACGACAAAATCATGTGACTCTTCAAATGCGCGTTTCGTTTCAAGATTAGGTCGATGTAATAAATAATATGGTAAAAAAATATCGTATTTAAAAGCTATGGTGAAATTAACAGCAATAACTGCCAAAAATTCGATGGAATTATTGCCTTAAAAAGTAAATACGCAAATACACGATTCGAATTATCCATATTGTTTGAAATATATCGAGATATTTAAAATCCATGTGAAAATCAATATCAATAACTGTCAAAAATACAATTCAAATATAACATTGATTTACGCTACTATCGACGTAAATTGAGCACATCAAAAAGTGATTATCTAAATGCATGATTCAAATATTACGTGTAAATTTCTGTAGAAAAGATAAGTTATTTTTCTTTTTACTTTTCAAAAGAAAAGCCTTTCTGCAAAAGCTCTGTAACATTCTGCGACAATGTCGCTGTGTCACGGTGATTCTACCACGGGGTTCAGAAGTAACCTTCAATTTAGAGAAATAAATAATTCATAAAAGAAGCCTTATTCACAAATTTCTTAGGAAATTTATTTATCAAAACTTATTTAGAAATGTCAATCTTCTCCACACAAAAAATATGGGCAGTAAATAGAACGATACGAAGTGCTTAGTTGATACAAAAATGACTGGCATCAGCTAAAATTTGATATGGGACCAAGATTCAAATTCCATAATAACAATTTAATACTTTTTTTTTTAAAAATTTGACTTAGCTCCTCTGTGAAATATAAAAAGACTAAACACAAATAGTTAAGATCAAGCTGGGAACGTTTTATATTACTTAAGTGTAAGTCCAATATGGATAACTGAAGTTTCAAGATGAGCTTAGTCACCACCTTGAATTTAATGAGAGAGCAGGAGGGGGAAACTCTAACTCAGGTATGAGAGAAGTGAGCTGGGGGTAGTGGGAATATTTCTGACTGATAAACGTTTTTACTTTGAATAGAATTAAACTTGTGGAATGCTACTGTTATAAACATTAATTCACTCCTTGTAGACATGTTCAGAAAGAAGTTTTTGTTTAGATGGCATTATTTATCTATAACGGAATTTCAAACATCAGTATAAAAAACTTAAATTATACTTACTAGAAGGCATTGTAAGTTTTTGAACCATAACACCTTGCTTAAACAAACTACTCATCAATGATGGTGAAGCAGTAATTGGAGTTGCAGTTGTACCCGAGCGGGTATTTCCACTAGTAGCCTGATTAGGCAAAACTCGAATTGTTGTACCACCAACCCACTGACATTGCCTAAATAGAAAGAATGAATAATAGTAAATAAATCATACAGAGAATGTCAGCTATTACCTGATAAATGATCATATTTTTTGAAACTGATCAAACAACAAGTATTTTTTTTTTACTATCAATGTTTGTTTATGCTTGACACTTAATGTAGCACTAGAATTATTACTGCAGACATTTTTTTTTAATATTTTAGTGAAACAATACAATGTTTATTTTGTACTAATAATTATACTTATTTTGCCTTAGCAAAGAGATTTTAATAAAACACTATATTCAATGAATATTACTTCCCATATAAACATATTGTTAACAGAATGTTAATATACATATTTTTTTTAACAAATAGCTAAAACAATTAGTGATTTAAAAGACAGAAAATAGAAAGAGAGAAAATTGAACTCATCTTATTGCTTAGTATAAGATCCTGGTTTATTAACAACACACTTCTTAAAATACTTTGTATCAATCTTATTTAGTAGTGGCTAAAAAACTAGCCACCACACTTTGAATCAGTAAAAAAAATCATTTTGAATCTACAGTTAAAAACAAACTAGTGAAATGAAATTTAAAAACTGGAGCTGGTGGAACATTATTTAAACTTTTGAATTGAATATTATTGTTAAACTGCAGACTTTCAAAGAGTCTAGTTTATAGCTCACCATGAACTCATAATATATAATTTAAAAAAAATTTTTTTTCAACATTTGAAAATATTTTGTAAGAAAAACAACTATATTGGCTTTATAAAGAAAACTCGTAAATATTCACAGAATTTTTAAGATCGTTCTCCCTGTACAAACTTAGACTGATTAACCTTGATTGTTTCAATCGAATTTATTAGTTCCCAACATATAGTTTATAGGAATTTTTATTTCAAAAAAATTTTAACAAAAATACTGTCAGTCAATATCTATAAATATTTTGTATTAAAAATAGAAATTATCTATTAGAACATTTCATTTATCATCCAGACTCGCCAACCTCAGAAATTCAAGAAGCCTGAGATGTTTTGTGATCACAGCATAGCACAATAGCGATACAAAAAATTAAGATTATAAAATATTCCTTAAATTAAATTTATTTAAGTAACTTTTTTACCCCTAAAAATTACAAATAATAAATTAATTTATTGTTTTAAAACAAATTTAGTGATAAATTTAGCATTTTTTTTAAACCTTATATAACATTTTTGCTGAAGCTCTTCTTGGTTTGTCTTCCCAGACAATAAATTCTCTAAAGTTTGTTTTGCATTGGAAGTAAAGCATAGAATAATGTCTGGATTTTGTTATGTGGCTGAATATTTTCATATAGGTAGCATCACTGCATAGAAAGGTTAAAACAGCCAATTTTTAACTTGGTAACACACTGCAGGCATTACTATTCCCCTGCTATTGAGTTTACATCAATTCCATTAAAAAAAAAATTCAAAATCAGTTATTTTTTATTATATTCTTAAAAGCAAAATTATTCATTAATGCTTATTTAAAAGTACTATTAAGACATCATTTGGTTTATCAAACTTTTAAATTTTTTTTAAAAAGTTCTAAAAAGGAATAAACGGTAAACCAAATACACTCATACTATGAAATCATTTATCTGGAGAAAATGGGTTCATGCAGCAAAAATTTTAAAAAAAATTTTGGCTGCATAAAATGAGTGCATAAAATGAGTGCCTGTCTGGGTTAGTCGATTCATACAGCTAATAGGTAAAAAGACTGAGAAAATACTTTGTTATCCTGATGGTCTGAGGTTGAACATAAAAGCCTGAAGGTTGGCAGGTCTGATAACCAAATTGTTTGTTTACAATTACAAAAAAAAAGACAAAAGAGAGGATTTCTGCATTCTGCGGTTATAACCAAAGCAACTTTTTTTTCAGTTCGCAGCAGTTTCAACAATTTAGAGCATGTTCCACTAGTTCTAGTTTTAAAACATTGATTTAGAAGTTTGAAGTAAACTAAAGTGAACATACTTATTGTTGATGATAAATTGACCACCACCAGCAGAACCAGATGGAAGATATGTATAGGTAGTTCGAATGTTAATCATATTTGCACGCTTTGCCATTTCATAGCTTTGTTTTGCAAGCCGTTTCTCTTGTTTGGTAAGTTTTAAATCTTTACGATCCAATAGCAAAGACTCATGTTCAAAAGGTTCCTATAATTTTCAGAAATGAGAAGTTTATTAGTGAACTAGTTATAAATTTTAATTAATTTTTTAAAGCTTTATCACTTCAACTTACTTTACTTAAACTAGCACTCATTTCTGATACTAAGTACTTTAGAACTTTGTCTGAATAAGAGGTTGAAAATTTTGAGAGTTCTTGAACAGGACCATCATCTTCATCATCCTGAATAAGAGTAGTGACATCTTTCCAAGTAAAGTTGCTTTCTGGGTTTAATTCATCAACAACTCTATCTGTTACATCATAAATTTAATCAAGCTTAAAAACATTTCTTTAGTATAAAAAAAAAAAATTTAAAAAAAAAAAAAAATAACCACTTCTTGTAAAAATAATTTTTTAAGGGAAAGTCTTTTTTTTAGAAATTGATATTCATAATTGAAGGATGAAATTTAATAATGTAGCAATATCAAATACCTTTTCTTAATGATACTATAACAGGGTTCCCACCCTTTTAACAAAGCAAACATTAAGCATTTTTAAGGACTTTTCAGAACTTTTTTGAAAAAATAAGGACTTTAAAAATTGTATGATTGTTGAATATACATATACCACCAGTTATGGTGCCAATTATTTACCCTTCTTAAAAAAATCAATAATAAAAAATAATAAACAATTTTATTCTAATGTAAGCACTGATATAATTGTATTAATTAACAGGGCTCACCAAAGTACTAGGCCATTTTTGCAAACCCGGGTGGGATTTTCTTAAATTTTTTTTCCTCAGATTGTTAAAAGTTAACGTCATCTATGAAACTAATCTATATTCCATTTTTAACGATTTCATTGAAATTGAATTGTAAAATTAAGAATTGCAATTTTTTTCATGTACATTAAAAAAAAAATTTTAAATAAAGAAATTTGGCCAAAACATTGAAAAAATTATTACAAGTTGATATATTTCGCTACTAGACCTGCATCACATATTCATTTGTGTGCCAATCTTGCTAAATTTTCAGTAACGCTAAAAATATTCCTTCTTTTCTATTAATAAAATTTTTCATTTATGAGGGTATATATTAAAAGAATTAATACTGAAAAGTTTAATAAGAGTTATGTATGAGAATAGTTTTCTTAACTCTATCATGTTAAATTAAGTCCTATTTCAAGCAAAAACAGCCATAGTCTAAGAATGTTAAATCATTTCACTTTTTTTTCATTAGGCTTAACTTAATATATTATTTTAAATTCAGTGCAATAAATATTTGTTATGGAATAAAAATACAATTATGCTTGAGAAGATTTCTAATTTTCTTTTTTATTAGTTCTTGGTGAAACATATAAATAAAAGGGTCTAAAACAATTTTTCAAAGGTATCAACACATTCCTATGGCTAGAAAATTGATAAGGTTCCTTAATTAACAAATACTGATAAATTATTTATTTTTTCATCATTTATAGATATTTACTAGTACAGTAGAGAACCATTTATCCGGTATCCAGATAACCAGGGAAAAATTTTGCTCGAATTTCCCGCCATTTTAAACTAGAACGAAAAAAAAAGCGGAAATTGGACTCATCCTTGAAGTTGAGTAGAGGAAAATGTAAGGAAGGGGAAGATTTTTTTCCCCATTTACCCAGAGAAACGTCATTTCCTCCGTGACCTTGAAGGCAGGCAAGGGAGGAATGTTTTATTTTTTCCTTTAGGCCGTCAATCAAACTCAAGGGTGTGGCATGCTGATTTCGTTTTCTGCTTGATTTACGAGGGGGGTGGGGAAAATGCATTGCATGCATATCAGTGAACAGAAAAAGAAAAGAGAAAAATATATTTATTTGACATCGACTAATAAAAATAAAATCTTTTTCTTTTGAATAAATTCTTATTCTTTGGAAGTGCGGTATCAATTACAAGTTTTTCTTGGTGTGGAATCACATCTGCTGTAATTAAAAATCTTGTTTTTATCAACAAAAAAA